AGAAGAAAAAGAATAAGGTTTCACTGATTATCTTAGAATTCAGATTTAAGACAGAAAAACATAAACTCATAATTATGCCAAACTTTTCTCATTATTCAAAGCTAAAAAAGATATTTGGAGATATTTCAAAGATTTCTAAATTTTTGTATTTGTTTATAAGAAAAAGAAATCTCTCTATCCAGGTTTTAGGGGAATATAGACCTGCATGCTCTGCTTACTTGCTGATAACTCATATCTTATGTTCTAGTACATCTGTCTCCTTCTCGGTTTGTTCTTTAGTTCTTATGTTAATGGGTTTATTATTGATGTGTCATTTATCCTAAGCCATGCTCAGTTGCTGTTAAGAAGAGGCTTGAATAATGAATAGAGGATATTTACCATATTGGCAAACCTCTCACAATTTATATTCTTTTGGATTAGAATTGAAATCTCCACCACACAAAGCAGATAGAAATACCCCCACATATTGGGTCAGGACTTGAGGCTGTATCATGGGCAGAAAATCTTTGTTATTCTTTCATATAGAATTTTTAAAACAGCACACAATCTAAAATTCTGGGAAAGAGAAAGGATTGTGACTGTGTTTTATTATTTGTAGGGTACTGATGATTATACATATTTATTAATAATATAGCTTATTAACAAATATTTCAAGAATGTAGGTTATATAGCCTCATTTACAGAGCAGGCAAGTCAAGGCCCAAGAAGGATCTTAAAGCTGACATTTAAAAATCTGCTTCCAAGCTAGGTGTTGTGGCACATGCCTGTAATTCCAGCACTCTGGGAGGCTGAGGCAGTAGGATCACAAGTTAGGGCCCACCCTGGGCAATTTAGAGACTTAGTGAGACCCTGTCTCAAAACAACACAAAACAAAATAAAACACACATAACAAAACAACCCTCCACCATACACATAAAAAAAGAGTTGTGGATGTAGCTCAGTGTGAAGACCCTGGGCTCATCCCCCAGTATCATAAAAACACACAAACAAACAAACAAACTTGCTTTCAAACCAATGCTATGTGAGATCTGGGGATAGATGGTCTCAGTGAAGCTTTGCATTCTCAAGCATCCATTGTTCCTTGGCCCAAAGATTTCCTTTTCTTTTCTTTTTTTTTTTTAGTACCAGAGATCAAACTTGGGTCCTTGTGCTTGCGCAGCAGGCGGCGAAACCACTGAGCTGACAAAGATTTCCTTTTCCACAAATCTTGTTGCTGTACTTTAAAAAAGGATGCATGCTATTTATTTTTTCCATAAGAAATTATTCTGAGCCTTAAACCAAAAATTACATCATTTGAAATGAAGAGATACCACATTTTCACACTGAACATTCTTTTGTGATCAAGACATATTCTGTTCATGCTGATTTTTATGATTGCTCAAGCTAAGGGGACTAACAAGGGGAAAAATATCCTAGTGTTTTTTTTTAAGATCCACATTAAAAAAGGAGACAATTAGACATTTTGAACATGGGCGATTATTTGATATAACAGGATTATGGTTCATTGTTTTAGTTGAGATAATGATTTTGGGGTGTTTTTGAAAAAGTAATTATATATAGAGATATACAATTAAATATTTTAGATAGAATTTGAGATTTGCTTTGAAATAATATGGAAGAAAGAATTAGATGAGATAAAGGTCAACTCTACTGTTTGTGATGGATAAACTAATGGTCAACTTGGAACACGAGCTGAATTGAGTCAGTGTGGCTCTGGGCATGGAAGACCCACCTGAGGATTGTTGCCATTAGCATAAAAAGAGAAATGGAGAGAAAGATTGTGTGCTGTTGATTTTCTTGGAGAAGCTTACCTTAGCTGGTTTTCCTGATGCGAAGCTGGCTGTTCTCCTTGTCGGAGGAGCTCAGGTCCTCACTGTCAGTGGGAATGGCTTCTGTTCTCTGTCAGGGGTAGCTCTGGTCTTTGCCTTGAGCATCAGTTCCTGGCTCCAGTGCAGATCCCTCAGCCTGGTGGCACAGATCTTTTATGCTGCTGAATGCAGGCTTTCTAGCTTCCACCACTGGTCTTTGGGGCTTCCCAGTGGAGATTCTCAATACGGACTTGCATGAGACATTGCTGTGGGCTCTAGGCCTCTGGCTGGACTCATGGAGGACATTGGCTTGGGCTCTAGGCCTTCAGCTGGACTTGTGCAAGACATTGCTGTGGGATCCAGGCTCTTGGCTGGATTTATTGGGTCTCTAGCATGCGGACAGGTCTCTTGCACTTGTCTGCATTTGACGTTTTGGGAGAATATTATAAAATAATCTTATAAGTTATGTGTCCAGTATTAAGTCTATTCCTTTACAGTTAGGTCCTGGGTATATGGAAGTTCATGATCAATTTTATCTACCTTTATATACATTTAAAATGTTTTATAATAAAAAGCTTTAAAAAGGGATGGGTTTTTAGATGTTCCATAGACAATTTATGATATGTATATTTTTTAACCTCTCAAACATATTTTTAATGCCTGGGCTTAGGTGCACCATTCAAAAGCAGCCAAGCTTTTTTTTTTTTTTTTTAGTACCGGGGATTGAACTCAGGACCTTGCACTTGCCAGGCAGGTGCAATGCCACTGAGCTAAATCCCTGACCCCAAAGCAGCCAACTTTTAAAACATCACATCTATTATATGTAAGGGGATTGGACATTGAACCAAGGATCTTCACACTAAGGTACATTGCCAGCCCCCCTTTTATTCATATTTATTTATCTATTTAACTTTAGTTTTTATTAGTACATATTATATATTAACCTAAAACAGTTTATATGTTATAAAGCTCTTATATATATTTCAAATTTTTCACTTAATCAGTGACCTGTATACACATAAGACCAAACACACGGTTACACACGCACATACTACTCATGTACAAACAATCACACCCTCCAATAACCAACTCTATGCCTGGTCTTGTTCATCTCTCTCCTCAACCCTTCCATTATTAGGTCCAAAACCTGACTTGTTCTGCATGATTTCCTTTTTTTAAGTCAGGTTTTGTCAGGTTTTGGACCTAATAATGGAAGGGTTGAGGAGAGAGATGAACAAGACCAGGCATAGAGTTGGTTATTGGAGGGTGTGATTGTTTGTACATGAGTAGTATGTGCGTGTGTAACCGTGTGTTTGGTCTTATGTGTATACAGGTCACTGATTAAGTGAAAAATTTGAAATATATATAAGAGCTTTATAACATATAAACTGTTTTTAGGTTATTATATTGTCATTCATACTTCTTATTCCTTTTATAAGTTATGTGCAACTGTACAGTAGCACTTGAAACATGGAAATATCTTTAGCACTCATTTTATCAGTTCCATCAGCAATCTTGTAGATAAATATCATTACTTTTTGTTAATCATTGAAAAAAATTTTTTAAGAAAAAATTAACAACTTCACTAAAATTTATTGAGTTAGTAGCATAGGCAGAAAATACGTTCTGATAGTGATATTTTTAGTTCTCAGTTTACCAGGCTTCTTCTTATTCTAGCATTCCCACAAGTTTCAGTCAGTTTTTATTTCTTACTATAACAAAATCAAATACTTTAAAACTTAGGCATCATAGAACATGTTCAGATAATGAAGTGCCAACTGGATTTTGGCACCATTCCTTGCATATTTGTCATCAAGAGTCAAAAGTAATAGGAAAGAAATTAGGCAGATGAAAGCAGTTTTGGTTTCACAGAAACGGAACTGACATTGTACAGTCAGTGCTGTGGAATTCTGGACTCTGCTACTACAACTATCACTACCATCCTCTCTAATCAGTTTCAGGAGACATGTTGGATTGAATTAACATCTGGAAATCTTCTACTACAATGAAACTAAATAGTTTTGCCTACATCTTAGGTGTTTAGTCATAGCTCATGTTTATTCTTTTTTATGTTCTGAAACTATTGTACATAGCCTGTCATTGAATTGCTTTCAATTAATGTTCCTTTGTTGAGTTTTGCCAGGAAGTCTGCCCAGCCTTTTGACCGATTAACAGTGGTTAAGAGGCATTTTGGAGAAAGTGCTATATTTTTCTTTTGTAACAATGTTTTCATTGTCAAAATTTTAATCATACTCCTTTTGTCTCTCTGATATAACTTTTAGTAAAGGCATTTTCTTTGCTATGTTGTATTTTTCTTCCTTAAAAATTGTGAGCTCCCTCTCAGTCCATAAATGCCCCAATTCCCCTTTTTTTTTTTACCTACCAAGCACAACATATTTTAGATTTCATTTGGTGTTGAAAACTTGCTTATGTGTGTAGACTGAGAAAATGTTCACAGTTTCTGTTTGGGAATAATTACTACTTTTCCCAGAACAGAGGTGAAATGTGTATACCACACAGGCTGAAATGAAGAGGCAAGAGACATTCTTTTTCCAGGTATGGTTTCTTTCTTTTCTCTCTCTTTCTTTCTTTCTTTCTTTCTTTCTTTCTTTCTTTCTTTCTTTCTTTCTTTCTTTCTCTCTTTCTTTCTGTTCTTGCCTATTTTACTCTCAAGTTGATAAAAGATTATATAGACATGTTCTTTTTTTGATATCCACAGGTAGAACTGTGAGTAGGAAATAAATAAAATCCAAAGATTATTTTTACTTTCTCATACTTCTTAGTATTCTTATTGTGTATTACTAGTTTGTATACTATGGTGACCCCTGTGGTTGCTTTGGGAATCAGTGAATTTGTACTGGCAGCACTGACAAAATCACAGACAGATAATGCTCTGGGCCTTTTTCTCCAATCCAGATTAATTGGTTTTGACATTGAAAAGTTTCTTCTATCTTCAGTAAAAAAAGTCTAAGGAAAAAGAAAAAGTGTTATAATGATTACACATCATGGTTACAGAGTCCCTCTAGCCACTGCAGATCTTATTATAATAATGAGAGTATTAATTTTTACCTGTTAAAACATGAAACAAAGACAATAATAATTAGGGTTCTACATCACAAATTCTACTCTTGTGAGTAAATTAGTCTGTGAATATTAACTCTTAGAAAATTATTTAGATGATTTTTTTTTCAGAGTTTAATCATCCGCCATTTGTCCTGTGAGATGCCAAGACACCTCCTCAGATATCAATTGGAAGATAAGCAACAACTCTTTTGGAGTATGGATCTAGGTGATAGAGTGAGGCATAATTCATTAGTGCTGTTGTTACTATCAGAAGTCAGATCCAACTCCAAACATATAATGTGGTAAGTTATCCATAGGAAAATAAATTTAAGAGCTCTTCTCTTCTATTCTAAAGTTATTCTCTTAAAATTATGTTGTTTTGACTTGAAGGGATCAATATATTTTAGAAAATGCTTAACTTCCTATTTATTAATTCATTTGCTAAATAATAAAGTTGGTTCAGAAGGATTGGAGGTTGTTGTTCATAGAGCTTGCCTGTAAAGGATGAAGAATGAACCAGAGAAAATTTTGCCCTAGGTTTTCAAGTATATAAGTCATATACCCATGTTCTCAGTCTCCATGGAAAATAAAAAACAAAACCAAAAAAAACTACTGTTTGTACAATTTTTGACTAAGCATTGGAAAATACAATATTAGATACCTTATAGACACACATTAACACTCTTATTAATATTAATCTTGGCTGAGAAAACTCATACCACAAAGAACTATGACATCTGTGGAACAGTTAAGCACAGTAATTGAGTCACAGAAATACAGAACAGAGACCCAAGCTCACTTGGAAATGTTTACTTTTATTTAAAAACAGAATTCTCAAGTGCCTCTCTGCTTTCTGATTTCATTCAGGACAAGAATGAAAATACTAAAATGTGGCAGGATTTCTAACAGAATGAAAGCCAAGATACACTGAAAATAGTGTTAAGATTTCCGGTTTAATTTCCAGGATAAAGAGATCCATTGTTGGTTTATATCATCTTTATCACATAGATACCTAGATAAATAAAAGCTGTTGAACTCAGCAAAGTTACCAGGTTCCCCATCTTGGCTCTGATTTTGCACTGCTCCTCATAGAATAGTGCTGGGATAAATCCAGCCTTTCCTTACCACAGCGGCTCCTAGTTATCCCCAAAGGAAAGACTGGAAAATATTTGGAATTTTTCTTCTATACTTTCACATTAGTTTATTCTCAGAGCACTTATCATTTGTATTTTGAGCCACATGTCGAGTAAAGAAATATGGAAGAAACATTTAATTACTTTTTCTCCCTAAAGAGCAATATCATATTTTTGTTAGTATAGCATTTGTTTTGTTTTGCTTTGACACATGGCTTCTGTGAAAATTTCAGTCGGTCTTTCTCTTTGGATTTAAGAACCCAATTCTGAGGAATTAAACACAAAACCATGAGTGTTTTTAATAGTATGAATTTAGTTGTTTTTCACAATTAATCTCTTTATGGTATCTTTTGACTCATTTTCTTATACATATTATGCATAACACAAAGGAAGGTATTTTATGATAAAATTCAGTAGTACTCAGGTTCCACTTAGCACTATCAAAATTACTTTTCTTCTCTTTTACCTTATTTCATTCTTATGGTTGGATGTAGGAATAAAAGCATTTGTTAGCAACTCAGCTTGACATATACAATCTCATTAAATAGGGGAAAGAAGGGGCTGTAAAAGGGAACAGTAGTAATTAAATTTAGTTAAGGGATCATACCTGATTCTCTGCTATTTTAATTTGTTTTGGGCCAGAATTGATTGAATAAATGTTATTATTTATTTCTGGAATTTGTGTCTGTTTTTGTTCTCATACATTACATCTCTTATCATACTTGGCTGCCTCTATCACTTTTTTTTTTGATTCCCCATAACTCATCCTATGTCAAGTTTTATCACCTTACACTTTAGATATGAACCATGGTCTCCTAGTTGGAAATATAGCAAAACAGCGGCAAACTGAGGAGATTATTCATGAGAATGGTAGGAGTAAACTGACCAAAATGACCTAGGGGAAGCTGGATTGAGCAGATAAAACCCATTTTGTGGCCAAATTGTTGCCTATTAGATTCTCTTATTTTTTTGTTTCTGAGACAAAATACCTGACACCCAAAGTTAAAGGAGAAAACATTTACTTAGCACACAATTTGTAGAGGTTTCAGTTGTTAGTTGGCTGGCTCCAAGGCAAGGTGGCATGGTGGAAGGGCATCACAGAGGAGAAACAGTTCATGGTGGGCAGAAGGCTGGAAGGCAGCAAAGAAGCAAGTAGAAAGCAGAGAAAGTGAGGATAGCAGCCCTTTTTCTGTCCCTTATATTCTATACAGTGTACACACCCTTACAGTGAGTAGCACTCACACCCAGGGTGAGCCTTCTCATTACCCACACTCAGAACTGTGCCAAACCAATCAGTGGACTAATTTAGTAATCACATACCCTTAGTCCCAGCATCACACTGAAAAGCATCACCTCTGACCACATGAGCCTTTGGGAGGCCATCTAAACACAAGCCGTAACAGACTCAATCTGGGTTCATCACTACTCAGTTGCTATATCTACTACCTGCACCCTGCCTCCCACCAGATTTCTGCAAGGACTCTGCCACTGAATGGAAATCTCCTAGTTTTACTCCTATTTGGCATATAAGAGTGACTGTTCTTTCATATTCCACCTTAAACTTTATCCCTGCTCTCTATTTATATTTTCCAACTTCCTTCTGTTCTGGGTCCTCTTCAGACAACTAGCATTTCATAACAAGAAACTTCAGTTTCCATGACAATTCTCAGGGAAAATAATGAAAGAAAATGGTTCATCTTAGTGTTCAGGTATGAGCTACCAAGAGAATTGGTCTACTGATTTGTGTTATATGTATAATGTTCTCTTTTCAAAGACACCCACCTATTGTGTTTCTAGAAATAAAAGCTGGTCCCCATGTTGGAAGGGAAGGGGCTTTGTTATCTCATGAATTCTCAGAATGATATCTAGATATATTTGGAGAATTTACCAGGTTGCCTATATTTTTGTGCACTGGATTTTATGTTCTTGGTACAATCTATTTTGAAGTTAAGGCAACTCATGTCACATTTACACTATATCACTGTGCAGTCTTTAATTTTGCCTCCTTATTTTCTTGACTATTTACTGCATGAGGCATGATATACAGTTTGTGAACCTCCATATCTGATTGTCAAGCTCTCCAATTCTCTGTGCTGGATGTTTTTCTCTGCTCTCAGTTTCAAAGGAATCTTGCTTTTTCTCTCTGGTATGTTTTAAAACCAGTCAAACCATAGACATGTCAGTCCTTTAGGCAGAAATTGCTCAAGTCACTTTGCTTCTAACTTTGTCCTATTCCAGTGTGGCCCTTGATCCTTATTTCCCAGTTTTTATCCATTTGATATTCTTGAGATTTAACTGCTAGTCTTCCTTTCTCTAGCTGTGGTATCCTTTATGGCTGAAATGAGTTCCTCTGGCTCCTTTCTATCTCAGTCACATGGGTGAGATTTTCCTCCTATTCTGATTCCAGCTCCTGAGACTAAAATTTGATACAGCTTATTTTTATGCCTCAGAAAATCTTGATCCTCCAGTAAGGAGGTTCTGAAGTGGAGTGCTGATTATTCTTACTTTCCCTCTCCAATTCATTCTTAATTCTGTCTTCCCAGCTCTATTCTTTCATGAGTCAGACTTCTTTATCAACTGTATCATTAAATCTCACTTTCTGTTTTCCATTTAAGTTCAGCAATGTTAGAGATTAGCAAATAGAAGATAAGAGTAGATAGAGTATTCATTCTCCTTATTTTTTCTTGTCATTTTGGGAAGTGGCCGTTTTATTCTCCCTACAGTCACAGCCATTCTACTAAGGTGGACCTTCTCTATATCTTTGGCTCTCATTGAGTAACATGACCCTTTCTTTGAGGATTAGAGGAGATAAAGACTTTCCATTATGTCTAATTTTTACATGTTTACCATACCTCATTGGTAGTCTTAATCTGGTCCACATTTCATAAATAGTCTCATCATCAAAATTTCTTCAATTAGCCCTTTGATGGTACCATATGTTTCTTGTTGACTGAGACATGAGTGTTGAGGAAAAAGACACAAAACATGTGTAGTCAATGATAATAGATTTTTATGAATGTGACTATCATTTGTAGGACAGTGATGTGATAATCACAATATATTTCTTGGAGTTATGTGTACATATATGTTAGACAGATGGAAAAATAGTCATACTGAGAAGACTGACTGGGGAATATGGACTGCTATGTTTTTCTTTCCAAGGGGATGAAATTTTACGAAGTGTATACCTGGGTAGCCTTTTTCTCTGCAGATAAATTAGAACAGGCACAGTAACAGGCAATACAATAGGCACAGGGAAATTTAGAGCAGAAGTTAAAGCATGTCCATGCAGAGAGTCTTTAGATTATTTTCTTCCTTGGGGGAAAATGAGTGTCTACCATTCTGGAGTCTTCTTGCAAATTAAATTTCAAACTACGTAACACTGGAGATTAAATCTCCCCACTGGTGAGGCAGTAAAAGAGCAATGGGCAAAACTCTGTCACAGGTAAAAGTGTTTTAGCTGAATAATGTGTTGAGGGGGATAATGAAGCCATTTTTGGTAATTCCTGGTAATGCTATAGACTAGTGGCTCTATGCTGTTTTAAAATTTTTTATTTCAGGGGTTGAACTCAGGGCCTTATCATACTGAACATATGTTCTACCACTGAGCTTCACCTCCAGCCCTGGATTTGTGCTTTCTAAACTGAGCAAGAAGGAGTGCTCATGAGTATGCATTTGGTGAAAAGTGAAGACAAAAGATGTTGGGATTTTATGCAACAGATGCAAGTCCATAGGAACAACAAAAGAAGTGAAAACTAATAAGAAGCCAAATCATTCTGATGTGCTTTCATTTTCTAGAGATGCTTCCTTACTGATATGACAATGTGCCAAGTTCAAAGTTCAATTCAACTCAGTATGTGGGCTGCCAAATTATTGTCTTAACCAACTGGGTTACAACCATAACATCTCTGTGCTTTAAAGTCCATCAGATTGTAGGAAATTTGGAATATTCAATCGTTGTGTGCAGAGTCTGGCATGCTTTTGGCAAAAAGCACTGAGCTACACAGCCAAGATTAAGCAGAGAATGTAGGAATTATCTGGTAAATTATTCTGTGCCAACAACCAAATAGGTTTATTCTGAACCCACGTTGATGTCTTTTTGCTTATGCGGTGAATCTGTATTGGCTGTCTATGGAAGAGTAAAGTTAATTAGAGATTTGGGCTTTAAGGACTATCATTAGCAGAGTAAAATGGAGCTATATCTAGAGAAATAATGTAGTCCCTTCTTTTTCAGCTGGGATTAAAAAGAAAGAGTGAAGACTAATATATATGTGACTTATCTTTGTCATGGAATGGTTAACTACTGAGAGAAAGTAAGTATTAAAAACAGAAGTTTCATGTTCTAAAATTTTAGATCATAGAGAAAAATTAATAATAAATATTCACCTTGTGACCTCTGCCAATTGAAATGGCTGACAATATAGGCCCAATTTGCCAGGTTGCTGCTCTGTTCTAGGCAGAGGAGATTTCAGATGAGTCTCTCTGTGTTTTCCCTGAATTAAATCCATGCCCTCTGATTCTTCAGTTCTATCACACTCAGTAAAGAGCTACACAACCCACGCTCATGGTGAATAAAGCTATTATTTAATGGAATCTTTCCACTGTGAAAAAAATATTTTAATTGGCTTAAAATAATATTAAATGCTGAAAGCCAAGTACATGACCTCTGGTTCTGCTGGTGTTTAAGATATCATACTCTTCATACTTTCTGGTGAGACTCTCTGGCCTGTCTCTGAAGAAGGGCCAAATGCAAATAAATTCATAATGTTTAGATCAGGAATTTGCCAGTGTATATTATGTCTCATAGAAGGCTTTATTATATAACTTCCTTCTTTGGGTTTTACAGAGTTCTTGTTTGTTGACATTCAAGGTGTGTCTAGAAAGTGTGTTTTTGATTTATCCTGCTCACCTAGGCAGAGTGCCCTGGACATTAGAGGATCTGGTTTATACTTTGTGGTTTATTTTTTTGTGGTTGTGTATTTCCTATGTTTTGTTCATGTGCCCTTAGTCTTCTTAGGAAAAGCTTGACAGCTCATTTTTATAAATCAATAAATAAGTAAGTAATACATCATGGATCAAAGGCCACAGCAGCAGCACTGTAGAGAGAATTATATTGTCCTAGGCACTTATGTACTTATAATGATGATATCCTTGGACTCAAGGCCTAACAGATTTTTCATTAGAACTATTAGATTCCATATAAGATCAACAATTACAAACACACTAGTCAAGATGATTAAAATTTAACAGGTTTCTTTTACAGGCTTCAGAGTTTAGTATTCTCATGTCTTCCTCTTTGGCTTGACTTCTTTCTGTATTTCAGAATTCTCTTGTTTGACTTCCAAAAACTACTCTGTTAATACCTCTTAAATCCAGAGGCATAACTGGAGAAGAATGAAATTTGGAATTCTCTTTTCTTTAATGAGCCTCCCAGGAGCCAGGTCTAGCTTAGGAATTCTTTGTCTGTCACTCTACATGCTCCAGGTCAAACTTCAGAATCTCTAGTTCAAAGAGAATTTTACTTCATGTAAAATCCAGCAAGTTTCCTATGGGAAGAGAAGAGGGAGCTGGAGAAGGGTGTAATTCAAGAGCTATAATCTCGAATAAACTCTTGGTGGCCCTGATAGTCACCAGCTCTCTTTAGTAAGGTCTCATCCCCTAACACAGCTCTAGGCACAGATGCCTCACACATTTCAAATTCATGAGTGAAAACAATGCAAATTTTAAAAGCAGGTAGAAAAACCAAAAACAGAATGGGTGGTCTTAAATTTATAACTTATAACAATATCACTCACATTTTGTTTTGCTTTCAAAACAGAGGAACATTTTATGAACAAAGGAAAATAAAATATAGGGAAATGAGAAGAAAAGAGGGAAAGGGGGAAGGCAGAAGCAGCAAGATTTTAGCATCTATTCTGATAATGTGATTTTGGTATGTTACTATGATTAGTTTTCTTTTAAATTACCTATTTTTAGCACTTTCTTCTTAGTTTATAATAGTAATCCACAGAGGCATCATCAAAGTTATGGTCACTGAGGTTTTTTTAAAATTTTCATCATGGAGGATTCAACATGGCTGAACAGAAGAGCTATGTTGGAGCTACTCAGAGACAATAAACCAAAAATACAGGTAATTGGAAGAAAGGGAGGAAAATACATCTTGACACCCAAATCAATCTGAAGTAAGAGACTTGTAGATCAAACAAAACATAGGCATAGTTGCCCACAGGGCTGCCAGTGGCACTGCCTCTGGCACATGGACCAGGAACCACCATTCTGGGAAGTTCTCAAAAACTGATCAACTGCAAAAGTGTGGCAAGTTCAATCCACACAGAATAGATCTGGGGTATAAGGCCTCCCACCACTTTTGCCTTCTTACAAACAGAAGACACTGCAGCATGGCAACCAATTTCACCAGCACACACAGAGATAAGTGACTAGAAAGCTGCTCCCTCCTTGAAGGACTGCCAGTTTTTTTTTTGTCATGTGCCATAGTGGCTAACTAGAGCCTCTAGCAATAACAAGGTTAGGGACTGTAGGTGACCCTGGGTCCCTGGCCCCACTTTGGGGCCACCTGTAGCCTTCTCACTTTGCTGGCCTTGCTCTGGGACCTAGAGCTGCCCTTCATTCCTCCCTGACCTGGGGGTGAACTAGAATGAATGACAAAGAGACACAGAGTCAGCTCAACATGGGGGCAACCAGGGTGTTCCTACCTCTAGCAGACAAAGGAGCCCCAAACCTTTTGCTCACTTTACTTTTATTCACCCAAACATGAGTGCAAGCAATCAAGGTGACACAAGATTTTTCTGGTTTCCAATATCCATTAGTATATTCTCCAGTAAACAACTTAACTTGAGGTGTCTTAACTTTTCCCTAATATGCAATCACCCTTGAGTACAGCTTTTCTCTTTTGTCTCACAGAAGAGGCCAATTAGGCCTTAATTCTCCACTCCTCCTGGACAAGGGACTGCAGCAGTGGTGAAAGTAGTGGGTGGAACAGCATGACCCCTCCTGCCCTGCAACCAATGAGTGTGAGAAAGGGACACTGACGCATGGGATTTAAGTAGCCTTGGGTAGAGATGGGACAACAAGTGGCAAGTCAGCACTCTCCGTCTAGAGAGGAAATTGAAGCCAGACCTAGCAGCCTTGGGCTGACTTGGCCAGGCAGCAGTGGTAGTAGCAGCAGTAGTGGCAGTGACAGTGTGTTGCTGACTCCACTCTGCCTGCCCTGTGACAAGCAGCATGAGAAGGGAGAGAGACATGCCAGTGGAAGCTGTGGAAGGACAAAGAGGGGCTAACTGTACATGGGACTGGGAGCAGCCTCTGGATGTCTCTGTTTAAGAGTGCTTCAGCAACTGGGAGAGTGATGCAGGGATAAACATGGTAAGGAGACATAGGCAGGCTGCCAAGGGACATACAGAAACTTCCTAGCTGAACACTGGCCCCAGCCCCCACATCAGAAGGCCAAGATCAGCCCCATACCCCATCACTAATCCTGTTGCAGACTTGGTGGGGTTACCCAACAGTTTTGGGCTCTGACTTGGACACTACCAGAGAACTGTGGACACCAGAGAGACTTTATTGTGTTTTTTTTGTCTGTTTGTTTCTGTCATTTAGAATTTTACTTTTATTATTTGTTTTGTTTTGTTTTGTGTGTCTTATTTCTTTATTTTCTGAACTGTCTTTCTTGATTTTTTGATATTTTCATGCAAGTGAACACAGTAGCTAGTCTTTGTGGTTTGCTTCGATATTCTTTTGCTTTCTCCTTCATTCTTTCTCTCCTGTCCACTTCTCCAGTTTCCCAAAGCTTGGATGATCATCCTCTGCCTTTCAACCTTGCTTCTACTGTATTTCTCATTGTTTATCTCTCTATTTTGTGCCCTACCCCTCTTAACATCCCCTCCTCCAGAGTAAAATCTCTCTACTAAGGGAAAACTCACTGCATACAAATTCCTGGTTTATGTTTGATTTTGTCATATAACTATAGCTTTTGCTCCTATGATTAAAAGTACCAAATGAATAGATACCACAGGTTGTCAGTTTCTAGGCTGTGCTTGATGTTATTGTTATTATTAATTGTACTGCTTTAACCAGGATGTCATACATGTTGTAATCAGTTCTTCTTCCTTATATGACAACACTGTGATTGTCTGGGGTCATAACCATCACCATAGTCTAGTATCAAAGGACTGGATGCTGGGCCAAATAGCAACTTCTCATCCCTAATAAATTGTGCAGGTAGAGTCTTGGGACAGACATAAAGGCTAAGAGCCAGCTACACCAGAAGACATCTTTGAGGAATAGACACTTCTTAGGGAAGTCTCAATACTAGTGATAAAGTGATCTACCTTAAGAAATTTACAAGTACCAACACAGAAAACAAATTAAAATAAAAAATATAAAATGACAAGATGCAGAAGCAAAATGCAACCTAGACCTCCAGTTTACCCAGGACAAATCCAGGGGTCCACGAGATAGAGGAAATCAGAAGCCATCCACCTGAATTTTCTGAAATGATAGCAGCAGAAGGAAATAAACAGATGAATGAGGATATAGACAAAATCAGAGAAGAAATAATCTTTCAGGTAAAAAAAAATCATGATGGGTATAATGAAAGACCTGCTCAGCAAATCTAGAGTGGACATAGACAGAAACAATAGAATAGTTTAGGAAAATGATGGATGCCCAACATAGGAAAGAAATGGAATCCATGAAGCAGATTCAAACAGATATCCAGTAAATTAAAAATTCCATTGAAAGTGGAAAGCCATTGCAATGCCAAACGAATGAAAGTGAAGACAGAATATCAGATCTAGAAGACAGGATTGCAATTAACAATCACAAAAAGTAAGATCTCTTAAAAATATCAAGGAGCCATGAAAAAACAATCCAACAGCTGCAAAAAGATACAAAGAAAGACAACATAAGACTGATCAGAGTCAATGAGAAGGCAGGAGTTAGTGCAAACAACATAAAAAAACCTGTTCACAGGTGCAAAGAAGAGGAGGTGGAAAGGGTAGGGGAAAAGAGAGAAGGGAATGGAATTAATATGAGAAAATGAAAAAAATGGAAACAAAGCTTTGTAAATAGAGAGGGGTGGAGGGGTTGAAGGGAGGACAGGGGAATGGGGAAAAAATAAGAATCAAGATATATTATTTAAAGGTACAAATCTCCAATGATGAACGTCATTATATTGTGTACCTAAAATGTACCAATAAAATTAATTTTTAAAAAACCTGTTCACAGAAGTAATGGTAGAAAACTTTGCAAGCATGGAAAAAGAATTGGACATACAGATAAATGAGGCATATAG